TACTCCATTGCGAGCAAAAGAGCCTTCCAGGAGCGTCGTGCCTGTTTGTGCCCTGAGAGTGTAAAAATCTTATATTTTATGTGTAAAAAGAGAGCGAGAGGTTCTCATTGTCTTTTTCACGGGAAGCTAAAAAACGGCGGACAAATAGAAAGGTAGCGGTCACAGAATCACTCTGATCTTCTCCGATCGTCTATGATCGAGCAATGTCCGATTGAAATAAATATGTGATTGTGTGGAATCGAGCCATTGCTGTCTGACTATTAATCGCTGAACTGCCATGAGGGCAGTCGTTTGATGTCTAAAATGTATTATTTTGCGAATGTATCAATCAATTAAATCGGTCGAACGTTAGCGAGCAGCGAGCTCTGACTGATAGGGAACGAGCCAGGGCCGAGCCGGCACGAGCTGCGCTGGGGAGGGCGCTTGTGCGCGCGCGACCGAACGCGTTCGTGGGCGTCGCAGAGAGCTGCGCCTCCGCCGGCCGCGAGGCCCCGTACGCCCGCCACCGGCCCCGGCCCCGGCCCCGGCCCCGCCGCCGCCATGCCTCGCAGCCGCCGGCCCAGCGCCTACTCCCTCGCCTCCTCCCACGGCTCCTCCTACTCGCGCCGGGGCAGCAGCAAAGGTGAGCACCGGCCGCGACGGACCAGCGAGCGAGAGGCGGGCTCCAGCTGGAAGTACAAGGCACACTGTGGGTATTTGCTTTCGCGTTTTCATTTCTTGCTTCCGGGCGAATGCCCATTTCGTTATTTGTTGCTTTATTTGGTTGATGTTTATAGAAAAACGCTATGTAACAAATTTTCATTTTTTTTTTCTATTTCTAACTTTTTTACCGTTTTCTACCGATTTCTAGCACGAAAATGTGAAGATTATTAATAGTAAAAAGTGAAAAAGTTTCCTTTGGAGATCCGGAAATAATTTGTTTCAAAAAACGTTTTTTGGTGAAAAAGCGCATGTAACCGATTTCAACGAACTTTTAGTTATTCAAACTCTTCGAAATAGTTTTTAATGTGTAGGACAAGTTATTAGAATTTATTTAGCTATTTCCAAACATTTCCTAACGTTGTATATCGAGAATTTGTTAATATTGCTGAATTTTTACTTTCAAATCTCAGTAAAATCTATATTTGTTTGAAAATTTTAATTTTCGCAAAGTACTTTTACCGATTTATTAATTACAAATAATAGTTTACAATCGTTTACTTAAAATTGCAATTAAACAACAATCAATATTGAAGGTGTTTGAATAGTATAAAAGTGCCTTTCTTTAAATTCCGTAATAGTGAACTATCCTTATTTTACTTTCTCGTAAACGTACTGTAGAAGTATACGTACTGACAAATAAAAACTGAGAAAAAAATTAATTTCGAGATATGTTGTGGTGATTCCTAATATTAAAAAAAGTGTTGTTTTTTGTTTTGTTTTCAAAACGTCTGTCTATTTGTCAGTTCTTCTTTCTACCCGTCCGTCTACACGCCTGCCCGAAAATAAATGATGTGTATGTAACCATAACTTGTTAAGTAAGAAAAGTTTGAAAAAGATTTTATCAGAATAAAGAAACATTTTTAAAAATATAAAGCTTTACATGAACTTTTTAGGGATAAAACGTAGTTAACATATTAGGATGTTTTAAAGGACTTTTTTCCTCTAATTCTTTAAAACATCAACCCCTACTGTTACATTTTGTTCTTACTCAACTATAGTAAACTGTTATTCGTAAGTGATATCTCTTTATGTAAAGTGATGTCAACTTACGTTAGAAAAAGGCAAAGTTATAAAATGATTTTTATATCGATGTTTTTGCGATATTTAAGGGTCGTTTCAGTGTCATAAATGAATATTCGGAATTCAATGATTAGAAATGGATAAATTTCAATTTATAATAATTTGTCTCACAATTCAGCAACAGAATCTTTTCCGGCCGCAAATGCAAACTTTTCGACATATTTACAATTACTTTCACATTGTTGTTTTATTACTAGAAATCGTGAGAAAACATGATGAAAGTTAGACAATTGGTAACAAAATTGATGTCATGAGTATATGATTGCAGCTAAGTTCATATCGTATACTATCTTTCAAAGATGTTATCGTATGAAGTTTTGTATGCGAAGTTAATGAGTTTAGCTACTTTGAACTACTTCACAATTTTCCCTGTTAAATAAACGCTTTCAATTATATTCAGGAACGTAAAGACTTGATAATGAATTGTTCGAAATTCAAACAAAACCTAGTCTGTACTGATATTTCATTGAATGTATTTGCAAAAGTGAAATTAAGTGTCTTTTAATTATATTTAATCAGCTACATCAATACAGAAATCAGAAGTTTTATTAACGCAAATTGAGATAACCAGTAATTCACATACAGTGTTTTCCCATATTATAATATTGTAGTAGTATACTTATCTAATTTTCAATAACAAAAAACGACTAATCAACATATTTACACATTACAACTGATCGGGTGGTAATTAGATTGAACCAGGCTGCAAAATTGGTCGTGGTATGGTTTCCAACATTGAGTCTGTCAATTTGATAGGTTTGTGGATGTGAAAAAATCGAAAATGATATACATTTTGCTATAATTTATCCCTCCAACTCATTTTTATAACAAATGTAAGTTTAGTAGAAGAGTCAAAGAATTAAGAAAATGTCAACAATGGAATAGTAAGCGGACATATTACGGATACAATTATCACTGAAGGGAGAAGCGAATTACTCTTGGAGTGTTAAACTTTTTGAGGGATAAACTTAAACCGCTTAAGACTTAAAAAATGAAACATTATTTTAAAAACTCTCTTTTCGATATATACCATAAGGTATTATTCCCTGTAGTGCCTCGGGGCCACATTATTTAATAGTACTCAAATTCCATCTTGCAGCCTTTGTTCCTTTTCGAAGCTTTCTACTTTTTAAAAGACGACTTCAAAACAAATTCAATTTGCTGTAACATATTTTTAGAAATTTGTGCACATTGTTAGCCTTTATGTCAAGAATATATGAATGCTATCGTGAATTTGATAGACTAACAAACGTTATGTTGCATGTTCTTGAATTAGTGCTTTAGAATTTGTGTGCTTTTTATTCTACAAATTATAATTTTTACTTTAAGTTAATTGGAGGAAATACTACTGCTAATACAATTAAGAAAGCCTTAGTTCATCAAAAAGTACAGTATTATTGCTTGTGGGATGTGTGCGCTTGTGAACCTATTAATGTTTTTTTTTTTTTTTTTTTTTTTTTTTTTTTTTTTTTTTTTTTTTTTTGTTAGTTCGCCTAATTCACCGTTTCACTTTCCGTTTGATAAAGCGCGTGAGGAATTAATATGGTTTCTAAGGTTGTTGTTAGTTTTTACTCAACTATGCATTCGCCCAATCATTTTTATACATCAAATTTAATAAATAAAACGTGCGAAATAACTTCTCTGAATAGTTCTCCGCAATTCGTTTACAGCTCACGGGGATCTTGGCGCGCCTGTTAGAGGAGATGCCAAATTTGAATGTTCAGCCTAAATCTACCGTAGCAACACCCCTAATGCTGGCCAATTGCATAGTCTTTCGTAAGATCTGAGTTGTCCAAGAGACGCCGTGATGTTGCCGTACGCGTGGTGGTAGACGCGCTAGTATCTCTGTCCAGGTCGTGGCGTCTCCCAGCCCAGATTTTGCGGGCTCCGGCCGAGGAATTCTTCGGATAAAGTCACCTTTCGCTTAAGCCCCGCACTCACTTTTATAAAGTTTATCAGTACATCAAAAACTGGTTAGTTGATGGCGAAAGTGTGACATATATACAAGTTTTCGGGAATTATTAATATTTTACTTGTTTGTGCGTTTCCCATTTCGGGCCACAGGCGATAGTGTCAGTCTGCCTAGCGCTAGTACTGTTTACAAGTAATTAAAATGGTGTGGAAATACAGTATGCAATTGACCACCGTATTTCGAAGCTGTTGTAGAGACGCATTGCGGCATATTCTGAAAGAGTTATGATAAAAGTCGAAATACGAGAAAGTGTAACAAATTCATGAGGAAATTTCCTGGTGCGCTTATAATGAATGTGAGGTACTTAATGTGAATCCTTTAATGAATGTGAATTCTAAAGTTTTCGTCGGTGCCATAAGTGGTAGAAGTAGGCGGAGAGCATTTTCAGTCCTTGAAGTAAGTCGCTCTGAAGCGCACGCCCCGAAGCGCCAAGCAGAAACGGCTGCTTCCTTGAAATCGAGGGTCTGTTGTTCGAGGGACCGAAACGACGCAATAAGCATAGATTTCAAATATTCTGTATTCAGGGGCAGAGAAAACCAGTGGCCTGGGGCAGTTGATCCAAGGGGATCCCTTATTTCAAACAAAAAATTTCATCTTCCTCCAATTTATAAATGCAATTATTTCTCTATGCATAAGAAATAACTTATAGCGAAATATACTTCTCATTTCTTTTGAATAAAAAAAATATGTTTGGGGCCCAAATTAAGTCAGGACCTGGGCAAGTTACCCCATCTGAACTCCCATCTGGATGCTCCTGTCTGTATTAGTCAAATTATTTCAGAGACATTTTCTGGACAACTTGCACTTCATACTCACCTTTCAGTACTCCTGCCAGCAAAATATAACAGGCTGAGGAAAGAAACCATCCTTTTTCCAGGAAATCATCATTATTTTTAAAATTTGAATTATAATTAGTATACAAGAATGTTTACAGAATTCATTTTTGTGTTTTCTTTACCTAACTGAATGTATAAGTGTTTTAACAATGTATTGTTACAAAAAGCAGACAGTACTTCTGCGACATTGATGAAGTACATCATGTCTTTCCTGACTCTTGCATTTGATCTAACACAGTCATAGTTGTGGTCATTCATTTAATAGACTTTATCACCACTGAGTATTGACTAAAATGTGTGTCCATTACTAATGTTGTGTAATAGGAGAATCTTGGCTTTCAAACATAATAGACATCATCTTCATATTGTCTTTTTATTCCACTTATAATTAAATGCTTGTTGTTTTGCAGCTCACCTTTATGATTCTGATTCAGCACCCTCTGCTCCTCCTCTGGAGGCTATGGATCAAGTGTCTGGATATGAAAGTATATCATTTGATGCAGGTACAATATAATTATAGTATTTGTTATATTTTAAAATAATTTTTCTGCTTTAACTTTCAATACTTTCTTGAAACAGTGTAATAGTGTGGCAATGCAATTTGGATTAATTTTATCTCCAAATAAATATAATTCATTAATGACTTTCTAATTAGAATACAAAACTTATGACAATAAATGAAAAGGGGAATACAGAAACGCTGAGAGAGATAGCATAGAGGAAAGATGTCATCTCTCCTCTCTGATGATAGCCATTAAGGGATGTCAGTGTGAGAAAATTCCATTTCAAATACTTTGTAAGATTGTTGTCTCTTAATCCTTTTCAAATCACTTTTGACTGTTGTTAACATTTCTAGCTGGAATTTGTGATAGAGCCTACATATACAACACAAAACCTGTTACGAGTTTTAATATTCAAATATTCAGTTAGAGTGGAAGTTATCATAAAGAGTACAAAGTTGCCATGTAAACTAAGAAAAATTAATAATCTTGCAAAACCATTCAGTAATAAAAGAAACATAAGTTTTTACTCATTAAATCCTTACAAAACTGAACTATGTTTAGCAGTAATGTTTTGCTCTTTTATCACAAAAAAATCACCTCCCATTCATTGTAGTTGATGAATTCAAAACCTCACTGTTCCCACTTTTCCCTAGTAATACCCAGAAACCTACTTTTGTTCTATTGTTGCTAAATAAAGGATATTCATAAGCACATTCCTTAAATATGCATTGTGCATTGTGTAACCTGTGCCTACCACAGATGTGCACATACATACTTGCAAAATATATGTGCACAAACATTTTTTATATTGTCACTGTACTTAATATATTAACATAGCATAAAAAAACATTAGGACACAAATAAATAAATAAATATCTGTTTGTAAATATCTTGTATTGAATTCTAAAATGAGAGATATAATACACTCATATCATTTATAGTACCTACATTGATACCTACAGGGAACCCAATTACTTCTAACTCATCTCAATTTAAAGTTTAACTACCAAACTCAAACCAGGGAGGAGGGAAGAGTTACACCCAAGTAATTCTTCCATAGTTTTGCTTGAAATCAATGCAAAATATATTGATAAAACAATAAAAAAACATTTTCTCAAAAACTACTCCAAATTTTTTCTTTAAATTTGTTCTACAGACAGGACAAAAGATGCTTAAAATAATATCATAGGTATCATTTTCATTGAACTCTCTGAATTTTCAAAAATTGCAAAAGTTAGAAATAATGATACAAAATATGTGCTATTGTAAAAGAATGTTTTATGTTGTGTGGTTTAAAATTTATTCAGTGTAATATGAAAAAATGATCCCAAATCTATTAAATTCAGTTAGTAATACAGTTCATTTAAAACATGCATGTATGTATTTGGAAATTTGGGTCAATTGTCTGACTTTGCCAGCTAGTTAACGGTGTCTCGCTTGTCTGGGCCTAATTAATTCTCATGCTTGCAGGATAAGAACATAACATATTCCCTTCACCATAACTAGCAAACTCTGCCTGCCTGTGCTTTTCTTTGTCGCTTAGCTACAGAAACTGAGATTATTTTAGAGGAAAGCTTCTACTCAATTTTTGCTCCGATCTGGGGCCGCACTAAGGAAAGCTAATATGCTGCCCATGAGCCACCCTAGGGCTGCTCATTTAAAACAATAAAGATGTAAAACATATTTTTTGCTATTTCACAGTTGAGCGCTATTCCTCCATATTTCGACAATTCTTTGTATTGTCATCATGAGCATGTATGAGCATACATAAATTTATAATATCCAAGAAGGAAAATTAGGATTTTTAACAGACACACACTGAAATGTGTAGGTCAATTCATGTACACACTCGTTAAGTTAAAATGACATTCTCATAAACAACATCTGATATTGTGATGGAAACCATTGCAATTCTGTTTGAAGCAGTTCAACAACATGAACTGTATATCACATCCTATATTGACATCGCCAGAACATCAGAACAATCTGAGCTCTCATTGATGGACACAACAAACTGGCATTTGTTACGTTTTATCTTAAAGGTTTTAAATTTATTACTAACTGTCTTTAATATATTTGAGAATTTTCATATTACATTCAATAAAAAAGTTAAATAGTGTGGACTACTGACTACTTGTAACATTACTATACTAAAGATGAGTCGGTTGTAGAATTCATAATGTACACACTACTGTCTATTACTGATGATGTACACCCATTGTTTTTGCTTTAGAAAACTTTTATATTTTACTTACAATAAAACATTTTATGTAAATTGTTCAATTAAAATAATAGTTTTAGAACATTTCATTCTATAATCCAATCAACCCTGCAACTTGATTGGTTTATAAAAACAGGATTGAGGAAAGTACTGCTCATAAGACCACAGAGTTATGTATGCCTCTAGACCATTTTAGTAATGTTTTCCCATTAATATATAAAGTTTCATTACATGGTTAGAATTAAAATTCAAGAATAACCAATTTAGTATGAACCTGTTAGTAAATAAATATAAACACTAATATAACTATACTATAGTTTAATATTTTTTATTTCAGTAAACATTCCTCCTCCACCTGGAAGCCAAACTTGTAAAACAGCAGCTGACAAAACTGAACAACCATTACCTTTTGATGAAGAAAGGGTGACTGAGAAACAAGCTCGTTCTGCCTTAATGGCTTTTGCAAAGAAGCATTTTTGTTATGGAACAGCAGTGCCCAAAGATATGGCTGTGACACTGCTGAAGTATTCTTCAGCATTTCATGTAAGTAACAGACAGCTTAAGATGGTCTGATACCACAGATATTATCATGCAAATAAACTAGAAAGGATAGTTAGCATGTAAATCTCATAATTAGATATGTTAGTACGAACATTCCGTTCTCAGTGATTTTTCTAAGAGAACTGTGAATGCACTGTTGTACTTTTAAAATTATATTCAGTGAAGTATAATTTTGTGTCAATGCAAAATTTAACAAAATGAAACCAATACAAACTGAACCAAATAGCAAACGCTAATACACATATAAACTTGATTCCATAACCTTTTATAAATATATATTGAATATTCTATGTATTAAACTACCTTCAGGCATACATCAACCAACAAAATGTATTCCAAAAGTATTTTTTAGCATTAGAACAAACTATCAAAGTATGTGCACAGGGTATTAACCCTTCAATGCAAAGTCTAGGTTGGATTCAGTAGCTTTCCAACATGGGTGAAGGGAAAGAGGCTTGTGCGTCACCACAGTTGCAGGTAGCCATATTAGTGCAATGTTGGCAGATGCCCTCTATCTCTAACAGCATTCTGTTGTGCAGGGATAAATTGCTTGAATAGAGATGAAACGAAAATGATTTTCCAAGACAAGTTCGAATGATAGGTTATACACTTATTTTATTCTATGATAATTTTATGTCGTATTTTCAAATCATCAAAGACTAATGTAATTGAGTTTACCTACATTTAAGAACACAACATCTTTATATCAAAGCCCAGGATAAGACTGAAATGTGTAAGCAGAAAACATTTTAAATTATTTGGGTACTATTTTAAGTCAATTCTTTAACAGAACTTTATATAAATAGTGTATTTTATAACTACATTTTTATAAAGATGATCTACAAATATCTTACTGTGTACTTACTTATAGAATTTAAAATATTTTAATTTATGTAAATGAAATGCTACAGGTGACAAAATGAAATTAATGATGCCTAGTGCGTTAGACTGCATTCAAGCCTGAAAGTAGACAATAAATTGATAATTAATCCATCATATAGTACTATTTCTTGTCAGATAAATAAATCGCAAATCTCAAGCAATGCAATTTTGTAAAGCTGATCTCAGTTTCAGTATTTTATCACTAAGCTCTTCTTCATTGCCTTACAGTATGAATTGGAAACTTTCACTGAAAAGAGGGAGACATCTTGGACCTATGCCCCATACCATGGAGGAGTAATTGATGGACCAGAAAATGGATCTGCTCCTTTGCCATGGAGCATTGAAGTAACACCTACCAATCCCTTTGAAGATGAAATAAAAGTTGTGCAAGTGCCTCACACTGCTTCAGTGAAAACCTGTCATCGTTGTCACGCTGCAGGAAATTTGCCTTGTAATGAATGCAATTCTAAAGGATGGGTGAGAAAAATTTGAATAAAATCATGTCTTTAGAGAACTAGAGTGTACATTTCTAATATGTATATTTTTGTAGGTTCGTTGCATCTCATGCAATGGGAGTTCATACAACACTGATGCATCTGGAAATAAAGAACGCTGCTTCTATTGCTATACTACAACATATGGTCGTGGGCGTCAAGACTGTTGCAAATGTGACACAACTGGAAAATTAAATTGCCCTACATGTGATGGCACTGGCCATCTTTTGTGCTACATTCAGTTGACTGTTACTTGGTAAGTGAATGTTCATTTCACTTTGATAAGTTTTACATGAGGTAAATTTTATTGAGTAGATTCCAACATATTTTATGTCACTTAGACAAGATCGACTAGGTCATGTTCATCAACCTTTTCGGTTTACTTATTTTGTAACATTTCTGAGGACTGTTTTTAAAGGATATGAAAGTTTTAAAATCCACTTAGGTACATAAATATAAGAGTATATGATCCAGGAATATCATATCCAGATATTTCATTTTTAATTATTTCAAATACATTGTTTTATGCTGGTTCTACAGTTTAGAGTAGTTTTTAGATTGTAATTTAACTTCCGTTTACTTGCAGGAAAGTGAATTCTTCAGAGCATCTTGTAGATTGTGATGCTGTCCCAGAAGCTCTTATTCGTGGTGCTTCAGGAAAAGTTGCATTTGATCATGAAGGTGAAGCTATTGCTCCAATCAAGCACTTTCCAGATGAAACTATAAATATGGCATCTGCACAGCTTCTTCAACAGCACAAAAGGATGTTCAAAGATCAACATGTTTTATCTCAGGTATGTGGATATTCAGGGTTCAGTAGCCTTATATTCCAACTTACATTGTAACTCTGTATTCAATTGAATTTTTTTCTTCTCATATTAATTTTTTCTCATACAGTAAATTGTGAATATCTTTCTCTCACTCTCTAGATGGAATGGTAAAATTTTTAGATTAATTCTGCAATTTTATGATAAAATATTCTTTTAAGTTCATTGATCACTTTATTCCAAAGTAATTTCTTTATTAGATAATAATTATTTACTAATATTATTTATCTACTTATAAATTATTACAATGCTGAAATCCACAAAATGATGATTGTAAGGAATGTTGTTTACTAATGCAATCTATTAGACAATAGGCATTACTCATTACTTGGCCTGCCCCTACAGCATAGACAATTATATAATGTTTGTGTGACAATAATATTATATATGTCCAAAATAAAAATGATGTTCATAGATAGTATCTGAGATTCAGAAAAGGCACATGTGGAGCATGGAGCGTATGTAAAGGGGTTGTCCATAAACTATGAAATGCAAATTTGGAGGATTTATATATTTTAAAAATATTTTATATACATTATAAAAACAAAATTATAAAATAACACAGGGAAGAAGATTTCTGACAACAAGCCAGGCAGATACTGTCATTGATGATGCATGGGTGGGAGCCCCTATACTAATATAATGGGATCATAGAATATACTATAGATTAGTTCTGAATACATTCTTTGGAATCTAATGAATCAAATAATATACCATTGATGAAAAAGTATTTCCATCGATTATGACAATTAATGCATTATAACTTTTTAATTTATTTATAATATATTTGCAAATGAATTTAATGTTTTGTTGTCATAGAATAAGATTGATTAAAAGGAATTATTACTGAAAATTTTATTTATTTATTTATAGTTACAGACAGTAGCCCAATCTAACAAGAAATAGTGAAGGCAATTTTATTTTGAAAAATAAATAATGTTATGGTACGCTAAACTAACATCCCTTTCTACCCCTATGCAATGCAGTGCAATGCTGCCTCAACTTCCTCCATTCACCTTCCTACCCACGTTTAGTATTAAGTAATTTATGGACAACCTGAGATGCAGAATGAAGTACTCTGGATCTGGCTCTTTAATTTGAAGCACTGTATATTGCATATTTTGAATCGATATATTTATTGAAAGACATAACTACTGTTTTAATGTATGAAATTTTTGTTAATGTATGAAATTTTTTGTTCTCTCAGTATTTAGTTTTACCATATTTATTTTTTCACTGTTTGCAGCGTCATCAAGTTCGCATTATTCCAGTTACCACTGTGAGGTATGAATGGAAATACCATCGTGGCTTTTATTATATATATGGTGAAGAGCACAAGGTATTTTGTCCCGATTACCCACAAAAGTGTTGCTGTGGTTGTTCTTTGATGTAACTTGCCAGGGTGTGATTCAAATATTCTAAAAATATGAATTCATATTTTGAAGCTAAATGGAATTGTGCAGTGAGCAGTTTGATACATTTTTTTTGTTCAGTCATATTGTTTTTTATAAATTCAAGTTATTTCTAAAAATGATCTGTTTACTCCTTATTAAATTCTTTTTTAAATAATTTCATTGGTATACAATCAAATTGCCTAAATTTTGGAATGACAACTCAAAATCGTTGTATTTTTTTAAGAAGAAAAACTGTAAATAATTTAATTAGATTCAAAGATATAAAAAATAGTATTCTTTAAACATTTGATGAGGATCTGTTGAATTTAAATCTGTTGAACAATCATAATATTTCAAAATATCCAGTACATTTATATGCAAATTTATATGATCTTCATTGTTACATATTAATAAACATTTGCTGAATCATTACAACTATATATGAATGTTAAGCAATTTTAGCTCCTCAATTCTTTTCCAAATTACATAGGCATTTTTGTAATTATTTAATTTATTCTTAATGCATCATATAAACTGGAGAGTTCTACATATAACTTGAATTTTTCCTCTGATGAGAGTGTCTTAAATCAAAATATAATTGTGAATTAAAAATCAAATATAAAAAGTTATCATTTAATTTTGTTTTTTTAATTTTAATCTTTCATTTCATCTGGGGACTTGGTAGTAAAAAAAAAAATTTTTAATTCACTCACGATTATTTTGTATCTTTGCTCGTATTGCTCAATTCCATCCATCATTTAAGGTGCAGCTTTAATAGACTCAATAAAAGTACAAAAGATGTTTCTGAAAGTTTTGTCATAATGTTGATATATTTAACGTCAAAACAAATAATTTTAATGTAAGCAGTGCCTTTTGACTTGTTGAAATAATAGAGTATCAAAATGAATCATGATTGTTTTTAAGTGGCGAGAAGGACGTGAACAAATATTATTTGTTGTATTGCATAGTGGTGCTGTAGTACGCCAATTATTGTCATTGAACACTGGCAGTCTAGAAGTTTGATAATACCTAGAATGACAAAATTAGTTCAATGTAATATATTAATTAAATGGAAAAAAATTAGAGATATAATCACTGTATAAGGTTATATTGATTGATATATAAAAATGCTTATAATGTTTGTTACAAAAGTAAGAAATATTCCCTGGTGTTATGAATGTTTTTGTTATATCTGGTCTGTTTATATCATGGTAAGTTGAGGAAAAATTTTCTCAGGGCAGAACAATGTCAAACTGCTCATTACCAGGAGGACAGTATTGAATAAGCTGGGATGGATAATGAGAACATGAAAAGAAAAGGAATTGGGAGAGGTACAAACAACATAATTTAGTGTTTCTTTTTGATTTCATATAAGTGATAAATCAGCTTTCAATTCCTGATGCATTTCAATAAATGTAACTGAAAATACTAGTTACATTTAAATTTTAAATAATTAAAAAACATATGTGATTACATTTGGAAAGAAAATTGTTATAAAACTTCCAATTAATGTGCAATATGAAGAACAAAAGACTAAAAATATTTTATTCTTTGGCCAATACCTATTAATGTGGTGCTTTATTCATTTTGATGCAACACTGTATGAAGACATGAAATGAAAACTCTTAGTCTTGTATTATCATTTATTTTATATTTTTAATTTTTTTAATGAAAATTTAGAAGTTTTGAGACGTGTTTGTGCTGAAACAAATGTAAATGCAAATAGCTATAATTTTGTGATATTCTGAAGGAAAATTAAGAGATTTAATTTGTGAAAGAATGATGATTAAATTGGATTTCTTTGTTTGAAATATATCCAAATTTAAGTTTTCATATAAATGAAAACATTTGCAATGCCTACATTTATCTTTGATGAGGCTCTCCCAATTTGAAAGCTGATCATCCTTATTATCAGTTAATTTTGCATTGAATTTTTGTATGCATTAGATATCATATTAGATAAATGGTAATATCTTTTTGAGTGAGGGTGATCTGTAGTTGTAGACTTGCATATATCTCTTAGAATTGTTATGAAGACTTTGAAATTGCTTTTGGGTTTTTCACTTTTTTGCCATACAAAATAATATCAGTACCAAATGATATAATGATAACAATATACCCGTGCCATATTTGTTAGGTATATTTTATAGTTATGTTGAGTTTTTTTCTTTGCCTTTTGAGACATTTTAAGTACAAGGCAGGTTCTAACACTAAGAAGTATGTTGAATTGCTACTTCATTTATATGTGCCATTCTATAGAATCCTGGTTCACATTCCCTCCAAAAGCATTTTCTGAAGAGTGTCTTGTATAAATTCTTATATTTGACACCTTCTAAATTGCATTTACTTATGCTTAAAGTCTTACTTAGAGTAGTCATTTCACTTTCCTATTTTTGTTCTATGCTAAAAATACTTTCTGTTCTACAGTTGATATTAAGTGTATTGGAATGGGAAAGATGAAAAAATATAGAAACAAAAATAAAAATTACAAAAGCAAAAACACTCAAAAACAAAATAGGAAAAAAATACTCTTGCTGTTTCTAGTTATATTGTAAATGGCAGCTCATATCTTACTCATTTCAGAATTTTCAGTGCTGGCTCCCAAGAGGAGTCAGGAATTTCTGTTCTAACTTATGGTTCAAATATGTACTAACACCAATACCTACACTTGTGAATCTTATATTTAAAAATTTCTTCAAGGTGTGTGGGCCAAAATCTAGAAGAATAAGAAAAATTATTACATCACATGGAGAAATTGTCTCTATTCCAATGTGTTTCAAAATGTTAAATTTACTTTAATTAGAATCTACGTTCATTGTGAAGTTAAATTGGTTGCAAGATGTTAATTGAAATAATTTGTGTTCAGAAATTAATATTCCAGAAATTTTATGGTAAAAATTAACTCAGAAAGGGAAAAAATAATAATTTATAGCATTCTACAAATTGTGTGTATTGGTGATCTATGTGCTCGAGGCTTGAATTGGTGCAGGTGGTCAGTTGAACCACAGTATAGGTAGATAGTGTTTTTCTTTTATGTTATTCATTTACTTTATATTCAGTTATGTATAATCATCTAGGCAGCAAACTCAGCTCCTAGATAATTCCAACTTGTGTTTAAATTTAGGAAATTAATGATAATTGTGTTAATGTATTTGTATGTATGTGTGTGCATAAATATATTTTCCTGAATTTTCAACTTACATTTTGGATAGCAATTTTTATCTTGCAAAACTGTCTTGATCTAAACTTTTATTAGTCTTATTTTTCATTTCACATCTAATATTTGTGCATTTGTTGATATCTACATCTGAAATTGATGTCAACTCTGAAAAACTGGCTTGTTGCTTTTCCAAAATTTAGTTTCTTTGGTATTTTGTATATCATTAAAATCTAAAATTTGAGAATTGTAAATATAACATCTAAAATGCTATTGATGTATTGTTTTTTTAAAAATCTTGTTAAAAGCAATCTAATATTAGTATTTATTAACATATGACTAAGTTGATTAATCATTTGTTATTTATCCGATATTCTTCAAGATTCTTCAGTTGCAGAGTTGTTTATTACTCCCAATTGAAATGTATTGAAATTTTATTTGCTAATACAAGAGCAAAATACATAGTGATGGCATTTGAATATTTGTGAACAACACTACATTATTGGCGAGTTAAAAAAGGTTAATTTTATGTCTAATCAATTTCATTATATAAATTGTCTCGTGTGTCTTCTATATCCAAAGAAAATAAAAAAGAAGCTTAGTAAAGAAAAAAAGATTTAATGAATTTACTTAAAATTGTTGTTACGTTTCGCATGATAAAGTTTTTACATTCTAAGAGTCATTTTTATGCACACATTGTCATATAGTATATGTTGTTGATCATTATTACAATATAAGTAACCATTTATAATAGACTGATCCATGTTTGTAGTTTGTTCTTAATTAGATAAATAAATGCTTTAAAAAATTAGTTGTTTTTTTAAAGAAAATTTTAAGGCCAATTTCATACCATACCATCATGTGGGGTTACTTGTTAGAGATTCTCAGTAATTTTTTATACATTGGCAGTCTTTCTTTTTTATGGTCAAAAGAGTTCGCAAACTGTAGGTCAGCTCCTTTTGTAAACAATGATTTATTGTAAGCATCAGAATCTTTAATATTTATAGAGAAATTTGGGTTAAAACTACTCATAAAGGTACTCCCACTTGTGGGGCTACTTTGTGACAAGTTCTATTTCATTCGGAAGTGCATAAAAAAAGTAGTATCACAAAGGAAAAATGCATAATATTTATTTACAAACAGTGTAACAATGTTGTTTTGCCATATAAAGTCCTTTTTCCTTAACAAAATGCCACAAATCTTTGGTTTGCACTTTGGCAAAACCTCAAGTTCACATTTTGACAAGTGCACATCTGTATGTACATTTCAGTTTCAGTACTTGGGTAGCTTAATGTAGATCCTTGATATTGTTGAACAGCCCTTGATACCCATTAGCTCTGAAGGGACAATGATGTATAAGACTTTGATCCGAGCGTGTAATATTGCATTGATGGGTTGGTAATCTCCACATTTTGTTGGCCTCGTTACATTCACCATGAATTAGTTGGTTTGATGTTAGTCACTTTTCCAGGGAAAAACCTGCCCTCTAAATTGACCACCACAACATCATCCATTTTAAAAGCATCTGTACGGTGATTATTGAAGTTGTTGTGGGTATGTGGGATCCCCAACGGAGATGGTGTAGCATGTGCCTCTGAATCATTTGATTGCTTGCCATTCATGCTATCATTAGAATTGCAAAGAGCAAATTCATCAATTCTGACTTCTGTCTCATGGTATGCCTTCAAGGGTACATTGAAGGGTACATTGGCTTCATTGTACACATAGACTTGGAAAGCCTTGCTGATGGATTGGGTATTCCTTATATTTTATTCATTAACTCACATGTACAAGATGTTACACAAAGCTCAAACTTCTCTTCATTAAAGCAAATGCATTATCAATTAAGAATAATTACCTATAATATCTGATTGTATGAGATTCTTTGCTCCAGCAGACAAAGTTGTCAGAGTTCACCTGAACAGCGCAGAAGCAATTTTTAACAAAATTGCTTTTAGAGTACTTAGTGTCTTTCCAAAAGCTTCAGGTGTCAGTTCCTTGGTGGTGCAGAATTTCAGGCATTGTTAGTTTGCAATGTTTATATGTGACATGACATCCAAAATACAAAAAGTTCCCTATCTGTCGCAAAGAAACCATACACAAAACCTTATTTTCATTCTAGGTTTCATAATTTTTGTTTCAATGAGAAAATATGAAGACATTTTTAGTTTTAACTTATTATTTTCAGACTAAACAACAGTCTTATTAAAAGCATCAATAATTATGTTTTTTATAGTTCTCAAAGAGATACTGATTTATAGGGTTGGATTTTAATGAAATGTCATTTTTTTCTTTTCACTTTAGAACAATGCCTTTTAGTATATACAATAATTTTATGTTATGACAAAAGGAAATTACCCATTTTTATACAATATTTTTTGCATTATTCATTGATTTCATCACATAAGCCTTTTTTTGCCATTTTCTGTCATTTTTAAATCATTTTTCGCTAATTACATCGATTTTCATATCATTTTAATGGTACTTGGTTCAAATAATATTTACAAGATGGATCAAATGTTCTCCACAGTATTCCTGAGTAGCCTATTCTATTTCTTTACTCAGTAGTTGTAATGTCAGCCATTGTGAGTCTGTAATCTAAAGTTTCTGTGACGCCTATCCACACCATTGGTGGTTCGGTGAATTTTGGGATTACTATAAACAGAGATTTCCGGATAAAGAACTGTCCAAACAAAAGTTTGCAGGCTGAGTTTACTTGAATGAAAGGAAGAAGCCTCATTTTATCAGAAACTTATCCAACAGCTTGAATTGTTCATCTGAACTGGTTGTCATCATTTTTTCAAAATAATTTTTCTTTGGTTTTAGGACATTTTAAAAACATTTTATTGATAATTTTTGGCGATGTTTTAGGTCATCAAAATCTGCCCCTAGTGATTAATGTCTTCAAGAGAGTACCTCAGAAATTTCTGACAAGACAACCTACGTTTTTTATTTTCTTTCCTACACTCATATTTCATATTCTGTAAATTGAACTGCCCTCTGTAGCAGTAAAAAATTGTATTTATACTGGTAATTTTAATAATAATAATTTACTATTCTCCACTACTACATTGCAAACTATATGTTGAGATGAGTAAACTTCAACATCTCTATTCTTGCAAATTATTGACAATGTTCCTTCTTTCATACTTAAAGAAGTATGGAAAAAATAATTTCATCGTAAATAGAAGATGTTTAAGTGATTCTTCATTGTAAACTTCCAAAATATTGTTACACAAAAAGAAATATACCCATATCTTTATTGTTGTTTTTATTGACTTTCCCAATAATGAGAAGAACAATTAGTTCATTTGTTTGCCTCTTGACGATAAATGTAACAACAATACTAGTGACCTGCAGCAGCAAAAACCATGCTGAACAAAACTTCACAAAATATTTTTCCAATGTAAAGCATGCACACTGCTTAAAAACAAATAAAATTCTCTTGTATGGTATAACACTGCAATAAATTAAATATTTTAACAAAAACTATCTTCATAAATACTGCAATTACATGGTATTTATACTGTTCCTTACCAAAAAACCAAAAAAGGAGCTCTTTTGTATTTGAATAACATATAATTAATGGCATATAGTCTCTTCCTTGATAGATACTTGGTATATTGCTATCATGACTGTCATAAGAAGTGACACGCTGAATGTGAGAATACAGTTGATATTCTCATTAGCTTCTTCTTTAACTCCATCTCAATCTCTTTCTTCTTTGTCTCCTTCTTCTTTGTATCTTTCTCTCTTCTTTTTCATTTCCTTTTTTTCTTCTTCTTCTTCTTAGGTAAAAACTTGTTTTTTCTTCACACTTCACCTTCACGATGAATCAGGAAATGTTGATACCCATCTTTTGAGCCATTTTCTCTTTGATCTTCCTTGATCGCACTTATCTATGGGTTGGAGTCTCATGCTATTTTTATCAGCCTAATATCTGTCCTACAGGTGTGTTCATCATAGTCTTTTTTTCTTGTTCTTATGAATATAACCATGCCATCACTAATCTTCTTTCTTATAACTTGATTCTTTATTCTATTCCATCTTGTTTAACCGTGTTATTGCTTATAATGTACTCATCTCTGAAGTTTTATATTGAGTTGTAGATCTTGTAGTATTTGCCTGTGTCTCTGCTCCTTTTGATGTGACTGGCCTAACTATGGTTTTGTAAATTTTTGTTTTACTTTCTCAGTTAGAAGCATATTTCTTCAGGTTGCATCTTTTAGATAGCCTGATATTATACAAGGTGTACAACTTTGCTTCCGCCGTTTTTCAATAGTTGGCTACAGTGGTAATAACGGTCGGTAATAATAATTCAAATATTAGTGGATTTGTGTGTGGCCAACGTTAACGTTGTTCGCGATTGAAAATGTTCAGTGTACGAGGCGAATTCTCGTCATTTGCGGGAGGCTCTGCTTTTTTGTTTTCCAATATGAGAAAACTGCGGCTGAGCTCACTCGAATGCTCCCAGTACTTGATGGTGAGGACGTCATTAGTGAGAGAACGTGTCGCGAGTGGTTTCAACGCTTCAGGAATGGTGGACTTTTAACTGGGAAGACCGTCATAGTGCGCGGAAGAGTGAAAGTTTTTGAGCGATGCAGAATGCGAGGCATCTGAGTGAAAAGACTCCGTCAAACTCCAGAAGAAACTGTCACGATCATGGGGGTGACACAGCAAGCCATTTCAAAAAACGTCTCAAAGCCATGGGATGATTCAGAAAACGAAGGAAACATGGGTCCCATATGAGTTGAAACCGAGAGGACATTGAAAGGCGTTTGTTGTGTTAGTGAACAGTTGCTTCAGAGGCAAAACGGACGGGTTTTCGCATCGTGTTGTAACCGGGACGAAAAATGGTTCATTACGATAACCCTAACGGAAAATCAGGGGGTATCCCGCCCATGCTTCCACGTCGACGGCCAAACCGAACATTCAGGGCCAAGATCCGATGCTCTTGCATTTGGTGGACCAGCTCCGGCCGTCGTGTACCATGAGCTTTTTAAAAACCAAGTTGAAACAATCACAGTGATCGATATCGAACGCAATTAATGCGTTTGAGCCGGCATTGAAGACAAAACGCCCGCAATATAGCGAAGGAGGCACGTAAGGTGATTTTGCTGCATGACAATGCTGGCCCCACGTTGCGACGAGTGGTCAAACGTACCTTGTAACGATTGAAATGGGACGGCCTACCCCACCCGCCGCTTTCTCATACGTTGCTACCTCTGATTATCACTTGTTCCGATTCCAATGCCACGACCTGGCTGAGCAACACTGTCCGATCTTTGAGATGTCCAAAAAGTGGATTGATTGTGATCGCTCCAAAGATGAAAC